TTAATATAAGCAATCCATACTCTTTTTTTTTTTCCAACGCTTTTCAAAGCACTTCTCTTGGTATACGGTCATAAGTTTTTTTCAAATCAATAAAAATCATGTGTAAATCTTTATTTTTACAACGATACTTTTCCATTAATCCCCTTAGTGGATAAATTGCCTCTGTAGTCGATCTGCCTAGCATAAAACCAAACTGATTCTCAGAAATACTTGTCTCCAATCTCAACCTATGCTCAATTACTTTCTCCCACAATTTCATTGTGTGGCTCATGAGTTTAATCCCTCTATAGTTAGTACAATTTTAAATATCTCCTTTATTTTTATAAATAGGAATTAATGTACTTTTCCTCACTCATCAAGCATTTTCTTCGACCGTAAAATCACTTTAAATAACTTAGTTAACCATCTCACCTCTTCTTCACCTAAACATTTCGATACTTCAATAGATATACAATCAGGTCTGTTGGCTCTATCATTTGCCATTTTCTTAAGAGCATCCTTTACCTCCTTATCACGTATTATTCGGTAGAATGACAAATTTTATTCTCCTTCACCGGTTATTAAATCCTCCAAGTTACTAGATAAACCCTCTCCATCATTGAAAGTTTGGAAAAGTAAGTCTCTCATCTATTTTTAATTTCATCATTTGTAACCAAAATTCTTCCCTCGTCATCCTTAATGCACTTTACCTGTTCTAGATCTCTTGATTTTCTTTCCCTATTTTTAGCAATCTTATAAATGTTTCGTTCTCCTTCCTTCGTCTCTAGGCTCCTATAAAATTCTTCAAAAACTTTAGAACGAGCTTCACCTGCAGCTCTCTTAGTTTCCTTCTTAGCTATACGGTACCTCTCCCAATTTTCTTCATTGTTACACAAATGTATGGTATTAAAACAGTTCTTCTTACGTTTGATTTTGTCCTTTACACTATTATTCCACCTCCAAGACTCCTTATCTCTCGGACTAGGACCTTTTGATTCTCCCAAAACTACTTTTGCAGCCTCCCGTATCTTTTTAGCCATATCCTCCTACATGATGTTAGCACTTTCCTGAGATTACCAAATTCCTTTGTCCAAAAGATTTCGCTTGAAAATATCTTGCTTCTCACCTTTTAATTGCCACCACCTAATTCTTGGTGCTATTACTTGTCGACGTTTTTGAATTTTACTCATAATACACACATCAAGGACTAGGACTCTATGTTGTGTCGTTACAACATTCTCGAGGATCATCTTGTAATTTTTACAAAGTCTTCTATCTGTGTTCCTAACCAAAAGAAAATCAATCTGTGACTTTGAGGCTCCACTTTTGTAAGTGATGAGATGCTCATCTCTCTTCTTGAAACAAGTGTTGGCAATCTTAAAATCATACGCCAATGAAAAATCAAGAAGAGTTTGTCCTTTATTGTTTAGCTCTTCAAAACCAAAACCACCATACACTCTCGCATATTGACCAGCGTCCCTCCCGACATGCCCAATAAAGTCTCCTCCAATAAAAATCTTTTCACTTTGTGGTATGTGTCGAATCAACCCCTCCAGATGCTCCCAAAATAATTCCTTAAGACTGGCTTTTGTCCCGACTTGAGGCGCATAAATGCTAACAATATTAACAGTCTCACGTCCAATTATCATTTTTAAGGAAATAATTCTGTCTCCAATTCTGCTAACTTCTACAATGTTCTTCTTCCATTCCTTATCCATAATGATGCCTACTCCATTGCGTGCGCTTACTTTTTCTGTATACCAAAGTTTGAAACCTTGAATATCCTTAACTTCTTCTCCACGCCATTTTGTTTCTTGTAGGCAAAGGATATTGATTTTCCTTTGAATTATAACCCATACAACCTCTACAGATTTACAATTCAATATCCCAACATTCCAAGTACCAAATCTAATTTTGCTCTCATGGACTAACCTCTTTAGCCGCGCACGTCCAGAATGACGTGGTAAGTAATAGTTCCTTTGGGAACAATTGAGGTAAGTAATAAAAATTAGGATGACTTATTCTTTTGTGCCATAACAGAATATTTGTATCTTTAGGGGTCGATATAGAGTTACATATACTAGTAGCTTGATGGTGACTCACTCTAGCATTTTCAAGAAAGTAGAGTCCCTCACACTCTTTAGCACGTTCTATTGTCATCCCCAATTAGATCTTGAAAGACACAATGGTTTGGAAGAAAATTAGTACAACATTTAGATTGCTTTGTCAGTTGGCTAACAGACAACAAATTGCATGCTAATTTTGGTACACGAAGAACAAATTCTAGAGTGATAGATTCAAAGATACGAAAACTCCCTTTCCCTGCGATAGGTGCAAGGGACCCATCTGCAATTTTGACTTTCAAATTTTCAGCACATGGAGTATATGTAGAAAATAATTGGTGGTTATTGGTCATGTGATCCGATGCTCCAGAGTCAATAATCCACGAAGTTTCAGCCCTGGCTGTTCTTAAGGCTTGAAGAAAATTGCCCCTTTGTGCTAGGAAGACCGAGATTGACTTTGAAACCTGACTTACGGGTATTGCATCAAATTCAAGAGCTTTGGATGGCAATTTTGCATGCTTCATCATCCACTGTCAAAAAACCATGAGAAAACAGGCATAAATCAGAATAATAAGGCTAAGAAATACTACTTCCAGGATTAGAAGTCCCATTCCCCTTAGGAACTTTTGGGTATTTAGTTTTTATGATAATGTAGAAGTCTTCTGTGAATGAGATAATATGCAATGCGATAATAGCCTATCTTGCCATATTTTGTCAAGAAACTTAAAAAATCTAGTTCATCAGGAATTTGGAAACTGCTGCATTAGTTGGATATAAAATAATGTGTTGTTGTGCCTAAGAATACCTTATCGACAATGAAAGACATAGGTCCCTTCAACTGTCTTGCCACTGATAGATTAAGTGTGACAATTGGAGCCTAGGTTTAGCAGTTGTCTTATCAATGAATATTATGCTTGTATTCATGACATTCTCTAAGATGATGGGTTTATTGGACTTGTATTTGAAAATGAATACAGTTTTGATTCTAGAAACTGATTCTGTAACTTCAAGAGCTTTATATTTCACCTGGAAAGATCTTCTTGTTTCATTATGTGAGATATTTTCTGACCCAAGTATTGGAATCTTTAAATAGGATATTTATATGGGTATATCGTTAAACACAATCTGGATGGTGATGAAGCTGACTCCTTATTAGGGAAGACTTCCTGGTGTAATGGCAAGTCTGATGCTTTAGCAGGCTTTTATCTGGCAAATGTTTCAGGGTTATTTGTTGTATGCTGCTCTGATGGTGCTATTTATGCTCTCATGATTTTTTTGTTATATCAAGTTTAGCGTGTAAGTGCTATGAGATGTAACTTCACACTGCTTCTTATGTCTCTCTTGGTACGTCTGCTCTCCATTTTCCCCTGTGGGCCTTCCTTTTGTTGTCTAATTTTAGTGCATGCCGACAACTCATCTCCTAATATTAATGAGGCAGGTGCATCCATAAAGTCCATAGCTTAGTACTTTTTCATATTCTTTTGAAAGTTTATGGATACATTTCTCCCAGCACAGCACAAACGACTTTGTTGAAAAAGAAGCCATGCTGATTTTGGAGTTACGTTCACACATCTACCTGAATGCTTCTGTGCATAAGCTTATAAACTATGTGATGAATAGAATGATCATCATCATCTTCCAAAAATTATTTTAATAATAAAAAGAAGTACATCAATTGAGGACAAGTAGTCTTCCCAAAGAAAGAGGGAAACAACAAATAAAAGTGAACAATAATAGTTAAGAAGTCTTTCTAAACCCCGTTTTAAATTAATAACCGAAACCTCCAGAAGAACCATTTGCTGAAACCCAAAGGGAAGCCAAAATTAATGACTATTCCAAGAAGTTTAAATTTGACAGAAGGAACTTCTGATCAAGTCCTCTTGCATCCACTTTCTAGTCTATTGCACCATACAGACTCTGTCAAAGTACTTTCTTTTCCATATTGTACCCAAAACACTTGAACTAGTGTTAAAGTGATCCAAATTTGCTGGTCAAAACTATACTCTTTGAAGATGACAAATTATTCCAGATCTTCCATGAAGAAAGGATCACTGCTTACTTGGAACTACTACAAGACATTACAATGACAACTGGTGGAATACTTAGCCTTCTGTATTTTGCTTCTTCCTGACATTCTTTGTGAGGAAATTTATGTGTTTGTTAGCTTTCTGTATGGAGAGCAATTTCTTTGGCTTTGCGGTGGAATCATAAGATTTTTTTTTTTAATATAATTTGGGGTGTGTGTGGTGACAACCAATTATTTTTTCATGCAGTTAGATGCCTTGTAATTATGTGGCAGAATGTACTTCCTTTGGTTCAAATGATTGGAGAAACTGAATACAATTTCTTGAAATTTATCATGCATTGTAATTACTATAGCTACATCAACTTAAATTTATATATAGAACTTTGAAGTGTTTCGAACATATTTCATTTAGCTAGATGCTGTGTTAGTTGTTAGGATTATAACTAGTTGTGGCTTGTGAGATGGATTCACGATACTGTTTAGTTTATACCTGATAATAGAAGATATAGGATATTGATTTAGCTATTTTAAGAGCAGTCTTTGTAAAGAATAACAAGAATTACATATATTATTTGAATGGGCAATTGATGTTATTAGTCATGTTCTGAATTTATGCTAAGCCATTTATTCATTTCAGTTTGTATGGCAAATTACTTTTTTGAGAAGTTATTTGTAGAGTTTTGAAATAGTTCCTAATTTTTTTTGTAATAATTTTTCACTTTTTTTTTGGGCTGAATTCTTTATTGCTTGATTGCTGTCTTTGTTTCTGATTTACTTTAATGTTTAAGTTTAATGATCTGCTTTAGTTATTTTATTGTACAAGTCAGTTATTGTTGGTGCAACTAATGCCTTATGCAGGCTTGTGAATTCTGAGTTATATTCTGCTTATCATCCATGCAACAGGTTTTCAGACAGTTACTATTTTCATGCAGACTGGTGACTTAGAGAGATCTGTGGATGATGATGTTACAAATACAACCAATACTATTAGTGATCTTGTAATTGATTCACCGGATAAGGTATGTGCTAGAATTAAGTGTAACTATTTGGCCAGTTTTATGTTCTTTGATCTGTTGGAATTAAGGTTAAATGCCAGCTATTTTTAGTCCTGCAATACATGGATTACATGCTGTCTTATCTTTAACTTATTGTGATTACAGTACAGCATAATGTGTTTAATTTTTTTCATTGTATTGTTTCTCTTTCATTAGTTTCTTTGGTATGAATGTGAAGCACTCTGATAGAGTGTAGATTATTATGGGATAATGGGTGATGCGAGAAGTTGGAGAAATATTAGGAATAAATATTATTTTTAAGTTATTGTAGATGTTTTCTATTTAATAATATTATTCAGGTTATTTTTCTGATTTGTTGAGTGGTCCTCAAGTTTAGGGGCAATGGGTTATGGTACTTTTAGATTAAGGGCTCGTTTGTTTCAGCATTTTTAAGGAAAAAATCACTTTTTTGGGGAAAAAATTGTTTTGTGAGTTTTTATGATTGTTTAAATTTTTGAAAATAATCAAAATATGAAAAAAAGCAGATTTTTGATTATTTTAAGAAGTTACTTTAAGTAGCTTTTAAAAATAATCTGATGTGGTGGATGAGAGAAAATATTTTAAAAATGGAGGATACACAAAGAGATCATAAAATTTTAAAATAATTAAATAATAAATTATTACTACAAAACAGAATTTAAGGAAGATATCGTAAAATTTAGAAATAACTAACTAATAATCATTTTTTTATTATTGTAATCCAACATAAAATAATGTTTGCTTTCATAAAATCTCTACAAAATATAAAATCTCTAAACTATCTAAAATTCATTTATTTTTTAATCTTAAACAAACCAGCAATAAGTTTGTGATTTTATTTATTTATTTATTTATTTATTTTTTTCAGGTAGTTATTCTCCATTATCTGATTTATGGATTAATGAGAGTTTTCTAGGAGTTATTGGTTATTTTTCTATCTATAAATATTGAGCTTCATAGCTTGTAGAAATCATTTGGAAATAAAGTTATTATTTGTTTACATTTGTGGAGATTCTCCTTGGGCTTTATTAATTGCATGAGTTTAAGATCATTTGCTTATCTGCTACTAAAGATTTTTCTTCATCTTTATTGATTTTATGAAGTTAGATTTTGATTTCATAATTTTAATAAAGATTTCTCTTCTTTTTCTCAACCTAGCTTCGATCCTCTTTCTCTTTTGGCTCTTTCTATAAAATTATGTAATCATTGCTTCCCCATATTCAAAGCACATGTTATTTAAGTCCCTGGGAACGATGCCTTGCCTTTTGGACAAGGTGAATTTCCAAGGGGGAAGTATTAAGAGTACCAATTATTATGGGATAATGGGCGATGTGGGAAGTTAGAGGAATATTAAGAATAAATGTTGTTTTAAGTTATTTCTGATAGTTTCTGTTTAATAATATTATTTTAGTTAATCTTTTGTTTTGTTGAGTGGTTCTCAAGTGTAGTAATAGTGGGTTAAGGTACTTGTAGATTAGTTCAGTAATTTTATTTATTTATTTTTCAGGTAGCTGTTTTCCATCATATGAGATATGGATTATTGAGAGTCTTTTTAGGTGCTATTGGTTATTTTTCTGTCTATAAATATTGAGCTTTATAGCGTGTAGAAATCATTTGGAAATAAAATTATTTGTTTATATTAGTGGAGATTCTCTTTGGGCTTTATTAATTGCATGAATTTAAGATCCTTGCTCGTCTTCTACATATTTTCCTTTATCTTTATTGGCTTATGAAGTTAGATTCTAATTTCTTAATTTTAATAAAGATTTCTCTTCCTGATTTCTCTCAACCTATCTTTTATCCTATCACACTCTATGGATGATACGTTTATCTATGCTATAAACCTCAAGTTCAATATTGATTGTCCAGGAAAACAAAATAGGTTTAATGTTGTGATCAGATCGTGTAATTATTAGATATTATGTGAATATATTCTCTATTAATATTCATTATCCTAGGAGATTAGGTAGGATCTGTTTTTATTTAGATATTACTTTATTTAGCTGCTGACCGATACTGGTCCCTTATTCTTCGGAGAGATTAGTGCTCCTATTCCTGTATATATATGTACTCGGCCTCCTTTGATCAATGTACGAGGGAAAGTAGATTGCTCATTCACTACATGGTATCAGAGCCAGCTGCTTCTCCACACGTTTCCGACACCGAGCACGAGTCAGAAAGCATCGCAGACGAGTTGTACCCCAGTCGCCCGTCTTCACCGATGACGCAGAGTGATGGGTCCTCGCTGTATGATTCGAACAGGTTGGTGGTCCCTCTGGGTTGACTACTAACCACGATGGATTTTCAATGCAAATCGTGACTATGAAGCTAACGGGCGACAATTACCGCACATGGGCACAGGCCGTGAAACTTGCTGTTGGAGGCAGAGGTAAGATGGGTCTTCTGGATGGCTCGTCCAGAATCCCAGATGAAACCAAACCCGATGAAAGGCAGCGGTGGTGTACCAACGATTCTCTGGTCTCGTCATGGCTCATTAACGCGATGACACCGGAAGTTCAACAGAGCTTCATGTTCTTACCTTCAGCGCATGAGATATGGGTGGCTGTGCGAGACTCTTATTCAGATGGAAAAGACTTGGCACGACTGTACGAACTCAAAACTAAGACGTGGACTATTCAACAAGGTGAACGAGATGTTACAGCATTCTGGTTGGAGCTTACTGCATTGTGGCAAGAACTCGACTTAATGACTGAGGTGGAGTGGTCAAATGCTACTGATGTGGCTCGTTATAAGGAGCAAATCGAGAATGAACGTGTCTTTCAATTCTTGGCTGGGTTACATCAATCTCTAGATGACGTACGTGGATGTATTCTCAGTAAATCACCACTGCCTTCACCGAGAGAAGTTTTCTCTGAAGTACGCCGAGAAGCTTCACGACGTAAGGTGATGCTCCCTGGTACGGTTCCCAATTCTTCACCATCTCTGGACTCCGCTGCACTTGTTAGCAAAGGAGCAGATCATAGAAGCCAAAAAGGGAAGACTTGGTGTGAACATTGTAAGAAACAAGGGCATACTCGTGAGACCTGTTGGGAATTGCATGGGAAGCCAGCAGATTGGAAGCCTAGAAGGGGAAAGACACGGGGATATCAGACTTCTCATGACACTTCACAAGAGAAGACCGACTCAAATTCATTACCTTTGATAAACAAAGAACAGTTGGGTAAGTTGATTGAAATGCTTGATGTGATTCAAAAGGCTGAGCAGAATCAGAAGCAAGGTCACACCGCATCAATAGCGCACAAAGGTAACTGTACTCTACTTACTGCTGCTAGTAATTTCAAGTGGATTGTTGATACTGGAGCCACAGATCATATGACATCAGATTCTAAGTTATTTAGTTCCTATACACCTTGTGCTGGGCATGAAACTGTCAGTACTGCTAATGGGTCTGCCTCATCTATAGCGGGTAAAGGGAATGTTATTATTTCTGATGTTATGAAGTTAGAAGACGTACTTCATGTACCTTACCTAGCATGCAACCTGTTGTCTATTAGTAAATTGACAAAACAAGCTCAGTGTTGGGCTCATTTCTGTGCTACCCATTGTATTTTTCAGGACCTCTTATCGGGGAAGATGATTGGCAGTGCTAAAGAGCATAATGGTCTCTACTATCTCGATGAATCAACCGTGAGTAATCTTTGGTCTAGAATCCGGTGCAATATTGCCTCTACCTCTAAGAATAAGGACTTTAATGATCTTATGTTATGGCATAGGAGAATGGGTCATCTAAATTTTCAATATTTATGTCATTTATTTCCTGAATTCCATAAGTTGTCTTCCTTTCAGTGTACTGATTGTGAACTTGTTAAACATCAAAGATCTAGCTACAAATCTTCTGAATATAAATCTTCTCGTCCTTTTTCCATTATTCATAGTGATGTGTGGGGCCCTACTCGTGTTGCTAATCGTACTCATACCAAGTGGTTTGTTACCTTCATTGATGACCACACTAGATTATGTTGGGTTTACTTATTACGTGATAAATCTAGTGTTCCCACTATTTTCTCTGAATTTTATACCATGATTAAAACCCAATTTGACACCACTATCTAGGTACTTCATACAGATAATGGAACTGAATATTGCAATAAGCCAATGAATATTTTCTTAACAAACCATGGCATTATTCATAAGAGTACATGTCCCAACACCCCACAACAAAATGGTATTGCTGAACGCAAGAACAGACACATTTTGGAAGTTGCTCGTGCCATCATGTTTACCTATAATGTCCCTAAATATTTTTGGGGTGATGCGATACTCACTGCAACTTACTTGATAAATCGCATGCCCAGCCGTGTCTTGTCTCATGTTACCCCACTTGATAAGTTAAAAGAATCTCACTCTATCACTCATCTTGAAACTCATCTTTCCCTTAAAATCTTTGGCTGTACAGCATTTGTCCATTCTCATCATTCCCACAAATTGGATCCTAAAGCGGTCAGATGTATTTTCCTTGGTTATTCCTCCACTCAAAAAGGGTATAAATGTTTTGATCCCTCCTCCAAGAAATTATATATCAGCCGAGATGTCACATTCTTTGAATCTGTCCCTTTTTTCCCAAATTCTTCAATTCAGGGGGAGAAGGGGAGTGAATTTCAGGATTTGGGAAGACAGGAAAACCAGGAAAACCAGGAAAATATTTTTTCAGAACTGTCTGTCACGCCAGAATCTATTCCTGACCAGCTAGAACAGCCTCAAAACGGTTCTGAACTACTTGCTTCAAACATACCTGCACCGGAAATTCGGACTTCTAGGCCAGAAACTGAAGTGAAAAGTCCTTTAGAGGATAACAGTAATGCAGGTACAGCACCGGAAAAAGAACTCATAACTTACTCAAGAAAGAAGAGGCGAGATGTAGAGGCTGCCATGCCAATAGCACTACCAATTTCAGAACTGAAAGAGGTCCCTGAAGGTGAGATTATGGAGAATAACGAACCAGAAGTGAAAGGTATTGCTGAAGAAAAGGAGATAGATGATCTAGATCTACCTATTGCTCTTAGAAGGCAACTGAGATCGTGTACTCAGCACCCTATTAGAAGTTTTGTAAGTTACCATGCTCTATCTCCTTAATTTCGTGTGTTTGTGACTAATCTTGATACAATGAAGATTCCTCGTGATGTATATGAAGCTTTGAGCATACCAGAATGGAGAGTTGCTGTTATGGAGGAGATCAAAGCTTTGGAAAAGAATGAAACGTGGGATATAGTGGAGTTGCCTAAGGGAAAAAGAGTAGTAGGGTGCAAATGGGTTTTTTCTCCAAAATATGATTCCACAGGAGCCTTAGATAGGCTAAAAGCTAGACTGGTGGCACGAGGCTTTACACAAACATATGGCTTAGACTATAAGGAGACATTTGCTCCTGTAGCTAAGCTAAATACCATCAGAATTCTACTCTCTGTGGCGGTAAATCTTGAATGGCCATTACATCAACTAGACATAAAAAATGCTTTCCTGAATGGAGATCTCAAGGAAGAAGTCTATATGAGCTTACCTCCAGGTTTCGGCACTGGGCACACAAATCAAGTATGTAAATTAAAGAAATCACTCTATGGCCTAAAACAATCCCCACGTGCGTGGTTTGATAGATTTTCAGAAGTCTTGAAAGCTGAAGGGTACAAGCAAGGTCTCTCAGATCACACCATGTTTGTGAGAATGAAAAACGGTAAGAGGTGTATTCTCATAGTATATGTGGACGATATAATCATTACAGGGGATTATGAAGAGGAGATTGGGAGAGTAAAAAATGCTTTAAGTAAAGAGTTTGAAGTAAAAGACCTGGGCAACTTAAAATATTTTTTGGGAATGGAAGTTGCAAGGTCAAAACAGGGGCTCTATGTGTCTCAAAGGAAATATATCCTCGATCTACTAAAGGAAGCAGGTATGCTTGGGTGCAGACCTGTAGATACGCCAATTGTAGTGAAGAAGGTAAAAAAGAAGTCCAAGGAGAAAAAAGAAAGTGAAGAATCAAATGAGGAACTTGAGGAAGAATTAGAAGAGAATGAAGAGGAGGATGAACCTGCAGACAAGGAGAGATATCAAAGGTTGGTGGGAAAATTGATCTATCTTTCCCATACTAGACCGGATATAGCTTTTGCTGTGAGTGTTGCTAGCCAGTACATGTGTGATCCAAGGAAGAGCCACATGGATGCTGCATACAGAATTCTAAGGTATCCAAAGGGTACACCTAGAAAAGGTTTATTTTTCAAAAAACAAGAGCAAAGATTAATAGAAGTTTACTCGGATGCAGATTGGGGAGGAACCTATAAGGACAAAATATCAACTTCAGGTTATTGCTCATTTGTGTGGGGAAATCTTGTTACCTGGAAAAGCCAGAAGCAAAGGGTAGTTTCTAAAAGCAGTGCTGAGTCCGAACTAAGATCTCTCTCCCAAGGCATCTCAGAAGGATTGTGGATAAGACGCGTAATGGAGGAGATACATGTCAAGGTTGATCCACCATCAAAACTTTATTGTGACAACAAGGCCGCAATAAGTATGGCTTTAAATCCTGTTCAGCATGAAAGATCCAAGCACGTGGAGATAGACAGGCATTTCATAAGGGAAAAGGTGGAAGAAGGTATAGTATGTCTTATATACCTCCCTACAAAGCTACAGGCTGCAGATGTATTGACCAAAGGCCTACATGGACCAGCATTTGATAGTTGTATACGCAAGTTGGATATGACTGACATCTATGCTCCAACTTGAGGGGGACCGTGGTCAGATTGTGTAATTATTAGATATTATGTGAATATATTCTCTATTAATATTCATTATCCTAGGAGATTAGGTAAGATCTGTTTTTATTTAGATATTACTTTATTTAGCTGCTGACCGATACTGGTCCCTTATTCTTCGGAGAGATTAGTGCTCCTATTCCTGTATATATATGTACTCGGCCTCCTTTGATCAATATACGAGGGAAAGCAGATTGCTCATTCACTACAAATGTTAATCAGGAACATTTCCCTTCTGCAAAGTAGTCTTTTATCGTTGATTGAATTACCCTCCTTCATCTGAAGGTTGTAGTTTTTGAAGTTCTATCATAGTGTCATTTAGAGACAAATGAAAGAGGGAGAGGTTTTGATTAACATTCAAAAGAATAAAGATAAACAGATTAGAGATTGAAGGAGCTTTCTAGTAAATTGATAGAGGATTTCTACAAGGTTTATTGTGATAAAAAGCCTGAGGATGCTTCATTGGAACTCTTCGGATCTCAGAAGTAAGAGTACAAATCGGTGTCTTTTTCTTCATTTTCATTACAGAAGCAACAACAACAACAAAAAACAAACAAACAAATATGAATTGTATGATGTCATTGTGATCTATCATTTACCAAGCTTTTAAGAATATTGTTAATTAAGAGTTCTCGGTCAATAATATAAACCTTTTTCCCCCTTCACTTTCATTGCTTTATTTTATTACAGACACTGTTGATGGACTCTTTCCTAAAAATAAGAAGCCTAGTGGCTGGGGCTAAGAAAAACTTGGGTGCAGATGTCAGTAATCTTGTCTCAGGATTTTCAATAAGGTGCCTGCCATGGCCATTGTGGCGACAATATTGTTGCTGCCCTGCATGGGGTAGCCCATGAATTGCCATGTCATTCTGCTGTTGACAGCATTGTTCTTGATAGGGGGTCATATTGCTGAGGCTGGCATTGAGTGAGACAGAAAATCCGGGCAGTGTGTTTTTGATTGGAAAAGAAAGAAGTACTTGGGAAAAATTAATGAAATGAATCTAGTTACCAGAAACACACATCAAACCCTTAATGGGCTCTCTTTGTTGCATCCAAGAGCTCTCAAATTCATGCTTCTAGCTTCTATCATTCAACTTATTTCTCATTCTTAAATTTTTTCTGTTCTGTTACTTGGTCTAATTAACCATCTTTGTACATTACTGTTACTATATGTTTCTCTAATTATTTAATCATCGATTGCTGATACAGATCTTCATTGGTGGAATTTCAAAGCATCTTTCGTCTGAGATGGTACGTTTTCTGGAGTTCTATTTGAGCAAAATTTATTCTTCATTGATTGTTTGGTTTCTTTTTGTATGATTCGTTATACAGAATTCCTTGATTTTCTTATTCACATGTATGATGTAACTATATACAGATTACAGGGATTTCTATACAAGGAAAGATTATAAAAATATTAACTACCATAATCCTATCTCATCATATCCCTACAAATAAGGAGTAAATCTCTCTCTTAGATAATTTTATTTGACTATTTTTACACTCCCCCTCAAGTTGGATTATAGATGCTAATTATGTCCAACTTGCTCATATAACTTTCAAAAGTGGGTTTATGTAACCCCTTGATCAACACATCTTTTGCTTGAAGATTTGTTGGTAGAAAGGTGAGGCATATGATCCCATTTTCAACCTTCTCTCTGATGAAGTATCTATCTATTTCCACATGTTTAGACCTCTCATGTTGGATTCAACAGTAGTTCTTCCATTATGCCTTGAGCAAATGCCGTTAGTTCAGATTCAGCACTGCTTTTGGAGACAATCTTTTGCTTCTGACTCTTCTAATTAACAAGATTTCCTACAAATGAGTGATAACTAGAAGTGGATCTCCTATCCAAACGATGTTCACCCTAATCTGCCTTGGTATATACTTCTATAGTCTTCGTTCATGCTTTTGAAATAACAAGCCTCTCCTAGGAGTATCCTTTAGGTATCTTAGAATCTTGAAGGCCCTTTCCATGTGTTTCTCCTTTAGTTCACACATGTATTGACTAGCTACACTCATGGAAAATGCTATGTTAGGTCTTGTGTGTGAGAGGTAGATAAGTTTATCAACAAGTCTTTGATATCTCTCTTTATTAGCAGGTTTCTCTCTCATTTGATATGGTAGAAAGAAGAGAGAGAAACAAAGGAGTGAAAGAGAAGGAAAGAGGAAGAAAGAAGAGAAAATAGAGGGGAGAGAGGGGAAGAGATAAGACATGAGAGAGAAAGGGAAATAGAGAATAGGGAGAATTAAACTGTGCTTTTGTATTTTCAATTTAGCATAACATCTGACTACACTTAGGATCCTATATATAGGCTCCTTCATCCCTTTATTCTAACAGAACCTAACTAACTATCCTGCAATTAACTAAACTATTTATTATTTATTTGTTCATTCTTTACATGTCAATACCCTCACTTAAAAAAACCCTTGACCTCAAGGGTCAAAGATGGGAAGGTCTGGAAATTGCCTCTAAAAGTAAACTAAGATGTCCAAGATGCTCTTCTTTATCAGGCAAGCTTCTTCACTAAACCAATGTTCATGTAATAATCTACCTTGCTTCCATCCAGGCCATTTATTTAATATTTTCTCTGACATCCCTATCACCTTGTATAGCCCAACATGAATAACCCAATTTCAAAGCTCCTTTAAGCCTATTAAAGGAAATTGTCATAGCTTTTGCTTTTGGAAATGCCACCTGTATGATAGATGGGGTTTTGACTTTTCATCTTGAATATTGTCCTAGCATGGGAACCCATGGGAGAGCCCATCTTTGCGGCACTTTTGATGGTAGAAAAGACAAATATTTTGGGCTTTGTGCTTTGCTTTTTTTCGGTTCTACTTTTTCGCGATTTTCAAGTTTGTTTTCAAAGAATCCTTTGCACTAGATGAAATAGTAGAAGTAGGACTAGCTTTCAAACAGAGAATGTATTTTGGGGGAAGGACATTTTTATCCTCAACATGTTGAGACCTACCACCACTAGTTGTGTTTTTGTGTCCTTTTCACCTATCCGAACCCAAAAAAGCACTCTGGAGCTGATAGAGCTGTGCTCTATATTAAATAGTCTTACAGAATCTTCAAATGCAATAGTGGATCAATAAGGGAAATTCTGAGGTTTTAATATTAATGCATAAGAACCGAATTAGTGTTATGAAAGAGACACTCACTGATTCTGGCCAAAACCTTATTCCCTATCATTGAAATTACACAAGAGGAATTACGCAACAACAAGAACAATGTCTCTCACTGGCGTTCGAGAGACCAACACTCTCTCACTTCTATTTGACTCACAAAAACATCCTTGAGTGCTAACCAAAACAATAGCCAAATATTAAAGGAAACCAAATGATGATCCTAGCATCTAAAATTGATTCTACAGCCACCCTACACTCATAATGACTTAATCCTCATTTGCTGGACCCATTAGATAATAATTCTAATATGTTGGATAATTCTTTTCTACACTCTACCCCTTCCTTCATTTCCTCTTATGTGTCTGAATGTATCCCAAAGTTGCATCAGAAACCTAGCCAAAAAATTAAGACTCATTGCCTTTTGGACTTTTCACGCGTCTCCCGCTCTTTGAAGATTGAAGTCGTGCACTTGTGCAATGCTTTGAGCTTCTCACAATGATAGAGGCTTCAAGATATGATCTTGAGCAGTAAAGTCCTTGTCTAGTCTTGCTACATATGTTTCTAAGGCTTCCACATAGTCTTCCTAAAAAAGTTGTTTGTCCTGTTTCAATTGCTGGAGGGTTGATGCCACTAAAATGCCTCCTTGTCCAGGTGAATACTTGCCATGGTAACCTTCCGAGAATTGGGTATTTCACCGAAGTGAAAATAATGTTCACTCTTCAAAAGCCACCCAAGAATGTCTTCTCGCTAGAATCTTGGAAATTTTGTTTTGGATTGATGGTTGCCACCTACATCTTTGGAAGAAGATCTCCACCAATGTGAGATTCATCAAAATGTCTGACAAGTTGTGCTATTTCGGCGATGAGGGCTTGGATTTGATTCTCCAAGATACAAAGTCTTGCATCATTTTGATTTATCATCTTCTTGAATGCATCTTGGGAATACATTTTTGGCATAGAAAGGGAAGGAAAGACTGTCTCTGGATATCGCTGATATAGTAGAAAGAAGAGAAAGAGAGGAACAAAGGAGTGAAAGAGAAGGAAAGAGGAAGGAAGAAAAGTAAACAAAAGGGGGAGAGAGAGAGAGAGAGATAAGAGACGAGAGAGAAAGGGAAACAAAGAATAGGGAGAACGGAACTATGTTTTTGTATTTTCAATTTAGCGAGCTTGTTTAGTCAATTTGCTTATAGACAATAGGTTACAAGTAAAGAGATATTGAGAGGAAAAATGAATTTTTGATCTTCTAATTTAAGTTACTATAGGTAAGTGTATATACAAGAGAGAGCAGCAAGCTTAATACAACTACTAACCACTAACTACAAACTACATATTCACATTATATTCTCAATACCCCCTTCAAGCTAGTGCATATAGATCATATGCACTAAGCTTGTTACAAATGCATTTTATTTGAGGATCTCGGAGAGCTTTAGTAAGTATGTCTACTAATCGATCATTTGAATTAACAAACTTGATGGTAATACAACCAGATTAAATCTTCTCACACAAAATGGCAATCTATTTCGATGTGTTTGGTCCTCATGAAACATTGGATTTGAGGCAATATGCATTGTAGCCTTATTGTCACAAATTAAATCCATTCTAGTAACATTCCCATACTTTGGCTCTTGAAGAAGTTTTAACCATAAAAGCTCAGATGTGGTTATAGCCATGACATGATATTCTGCTTTAGCACTAGACCTTGCAACTACATTTTGCTTCTTGCTCTTCCATGAGATTAAGGTTCCACCAATGAACACACAATATCTTGAAGTAGAATGTCTATCAATTGGACAACTAGCCCAATCTACATTATTGTAGCCAACTATTTCAATATCATCACTGTCATCTTGGGCATCATCCTTTTCCTTGTCACTATAACCTTATCCAACTACATGAGAATTCCCCTTGTCTTCATACCACAATCCTTGTCATGGAGACCCTTGATGTATCTAAGGATGCAAATTGCAGTTTCCTAGTGACTAGCCCAAGGAGATTCCAGAAATTGACTCGCTACACTTACTACAAAAGAAATATCAGGACAAGTAATGATGAGGTAATTGAGTTTCCCAACCAATCTTCGATATCTCTCCAGGTTTGAAAGTGGCTCCCTTTGTCTAGGTAGCAACTTGACATTTGGATCCATAGGAGTGTCAACAAGTCTACAATCTATCGACCTAGTTTCCTTCAAGATATCAAGAGCATATTTTCGTTGTGATATAGCAACTCCAGTTGACGATTGAGCTACCTTAATGCCCAAGAAATACTTAAGTTTACCTAAATCTTTTGTTTGGAAGGATGTTACTAAGTGTTGCTTAAGCTTGGTAATCTCATGTTGATCATTGCCTGTGATAACAATGTTATCGACATAGGCAAACTAGATAAATGCACCTACCAGATGATGAATGGTGATAGAGTGAATGGTGATAGAGCACAGAGTGATCTGCATCACTTCGAATCATTCCAAATTGTTGAAGAACTATATTGAACCTACTAAACCAAGCTGGAGGAGATTGGTTTAATTCGTAGAGAGATTGATGCAATCTACAAACCTTCCTATACTCCCCCTGAGCAACAAACCCAGGAAGTTGTTCCATATACACCTCTTCCTTGAGTTCTCCAGGAAGAAAAGCATTCTTAATGTCAAGTTGATAGATAGTCTAGTGATTAATTGCTACAATAGCCAAGAGTAAACAGATAGAAGCAATTTTGGCAACAGGAGAAAAAGTGTTATCATAACCGATACTGAAGATTTGAGTCTAGCCTTTAGCAACTAATCGTGCCTTAAATCGATCAATAGAATCGTAAGGATCAAACTTGATGGTAAATACCCACCGGCAGCTAACGAGATTTTTGTAGAGGTAAAGAGACTAGATCCCAAGTATGATTAATATGCAAGGCCTTCACAGCTCACAATCAAGAGATTTCAAATTAGAGAGGGAACCATCTTTTGAAGTTTAGAAAGACCAGGATGATCAAGGCAACTGTGAACAAGATTTGGTGTAATGGCATTGCAAGCAGTTAGTGATATAGTGGATGGAAAATAGTAAAGTCCTGTGACTCACACCCTACGCCAATCGTTCGACTTGTACTTTGATCTTATAAAACGATAGGCACATCACTAAAGATAACAAAGGAGAGCAATAGTAAGTTGACTAATAGAAACAAGATTGAAAGGGGACTCAGGAACATAAAGAACATAAATTAATGGAAGGAGAAAGGGAAGCTTGGCTAATGCCTTTAGTTGTAGCGTGAGAATTGTTAGCTTTAGTAATTGCTAGAAGAAAAGTAGAATCAATGAAATTTGACAGGAGATTTTTGTTACCGATGATATGAGTAGAAGTGCTAGAGAAAATAATCCATGGTTAAAGAGAGGATTGAGTGAGGCAAGCAACCAATTTGCTAGTTAACAAAATGGATGAAGGTGATTGTCCTTTAGGAGATGTAGAAGACACAAGTGACTGTGAATTAGATGCATGAGCAACATTTTCCTTATGTGAAGAAGGTCTTCCATGTTTACTATAGCAGCGATCCTTAGTGTGATTGATTTTCTTACAATAAGTGTAGTAAGGACGTCGAGGATAACAGCTACGTTCATCTCTATCACGGTTGCCTCTATTGTAACTTTGTGAAACTAACACTGATGCATCCGAAGTGGTCTCTAGTTCTTTCCCATGGTTGTCGAAAGAAACTTGTATAAGGCAACATCTAATGATGGAATAGAGGGACCGCCAAGAATATGGTCTCGAAGATGTCCAAAAGAGGGTTGAAGATTAACTAGAGTCAACCATGAAGAGCTTTCTCCCATTCTTTCTCCTAAACTTCTGTAGAGGCAAGCATTAGAGATCAAAATTTTTGCCTTAAGGCCTTGGTGCAGCTAACATAGGCAATATCATCCATATCCTCCTGCATGAGATGAGCTGAAGTGGTTACCATCTCATAGTAGCAGTGAACATTTCTACTGTATAAAGTAGCAGCCTTGTTCCAGACTTTAAAGCAAGTCTCAAGAGAATTCCATAATAGAGAATAGAATTGAGCATCAACCTTCTTCCAAGCAGGTCGCTTATCTTTAGGAATGTCGATGCTTTTTGTAGTTAAATGATCCTCTTGCCCTTGCCCTTTAAACCATAGGTGAATAGAGGCAGCCCATGATTTGTAGTTGGATGACCTGCCCAACTTTTCAGAGGTGATGATCAGAGTATTCCCAAAAATCAAAGAAAAAAACACTTGACTTTGAATCTAAAGAAGACATAATAGGAAAAACTACATTGACAATGAAGGAGAAAAGTATAAGAATTACAACGAAGACAGAATGGACCAACACACCCTAGAATTAGAATGTATGAAGGATAGTGAGTATAGTGATGGAAACAACACTGGAAAACAACAGTGGCGCTCCCTTGTGTGTCGGTGATGGAGAATTGGTTGGAAAAGCTTGATTGGCATGTGATGGCACATTAGACGATGGACGGCAGTCAAACTTCTAGGTTTTGGAGATTGGTGGACGATAATTCCAATGGTGCGGCGCGTCTTGATGTTGGAGCTCTAGTGAAGGTGGATCCGAGCAGGTAGTGACGTAAAAAAGAAGGCGGCTAGAACGAAGCACATCCCTAGAAAGGAGCCTTAGTGTCACAACCTGTGTTCAAAAAGAGAAGAACCTATAAGGTTAAGGTGTTTTTGGAGATGTCCAGGTTGATGTAGAGAATTTCAAGGGAGCCTAGGACGCTCAAGAAGAATCTAGCATACTCCATAATGTTTTAAAAGCATATGGAACAATTTAGAAATATCTAGAGAATCTAGAGGGATCTAGAAGTTTCTAGACACTTTTAGAGGAACGTAATGATATCTAGAATATTTTGAGATATTCTATATGTTCTAAAATATTCCACATATTTTGAAGTTAGTCTCTAGAAATATCCTTGTAAATATCTAAATATTGTTTGTTGATATTTTTATAGAATATTCTAGAGAATGAACGTACATTGTTGTATTGAATTGATCTCCACCATCCATTAAGGAGGTGGGAAAACTCTAGAATAACGGAAAATTCTTTAAATACCCCCTCACCCCTCATTTGTAATTAACAAGCAAACCAAGCAAAGTTATAAAAGCTCCCAAGTTCATTTATTTAAGTTCTCTACTTTCTACTTGTGTGCTAAGATCTTTAAGGGCTCGTTTGTTTTAGCTTGTTTCATAAAAAAATCACTTATTATTTTTTTTTTAAAATCTACTTCGTGAGTTTTCTATGATGTTTCTCTAAACTTTTGAAAATAATTAGAATCCAAAAAAAAAGCAGATTTTTGATTATTTTAAGAAGCTACTTAAAGTAGCTTTTGAAAATAATCTAAGGCGATACATGAGAGTGTTTTAAAAAAGGCGAGATATGTAAAAATATCATGAAATTTTTTAAAATAATATAGTAACAAATCATTTTTATAAAACAAAAATCAAAGTAGATAGCATAAAATTTAAAAATAACTAACTAATAATCATTTTTTATTATTATAACCACACATAAAATAATACTTGATTTGTATAAAATGTCTACGAAATAAATATCTTTATATAAAATCTCTAAACTATCTAAAAATTATTTATTTTTTTAATCTTAAACAAATGGGCCCCAAGTCTCTTTGCTTACATTGTGAGGGTTTGGCTAATTTAGTCAAGATTAAGAGGTTGATCAAGTAAAGGTTAGCACGGTTCAAGAAAGGAAAGTTCCAAGGCCGTGACATTGGGCTATAATACCATAAAGAGATATTGAGAGGAAAAATGAATCTCTAATCTTTTGAGTTATAGTAGGCAAGTGTATATAAGCAGGAGAGCAACAAGCTCAATAAATGCTAACTACTAACCACTTGCTACAAACTATAAACTACACATTTGACACTATATTCTTAACAACAAGCAAGATATGGGACATGGTGAGCAGAATCCAAATGTAAAAATTTAGAAATAGTGATACTGGTTTTCTGGCAATAGGAGAGAAGGTACCAATTGCTGTTTTAATTTTCTCATGTCCACTACATGGAAAATATGATGTAAATAATGTGGAATCCATAGTCATATGATTTGAGGCTCTTGAATCGGCAATCCACCTAGACTTATGAGCAAAACAGGCATTGAAAGCATCGTGGGAATCACCTTGCTTAGGCACAAGAGCATTATGAGTTACTTGAGAAGACTATCCATATTGTTGTAAGGTATTGAGCACTTCCAGAAGTTTATTTAATTGATCTTTATCAATTGTAGGCATAGGATTGGATTTTTCTTGAGTAGACTCAGAAGTAGCTCGATATCCATGAGTCTTCCCTTTGCGTGGTTTCTAGTCAGGGGGCTTATAGTGGTTTCCAATCCCTTTCTTGAGTGAGCCGTCTTTTTATGGTGATTGCATGTAATTTTCCCTTTAATTTCCTTTTGTCCCTTATTAGAGGAGGCCCTACTCACCAAGGCAGATGATTCAGAAGGAGAAGGAACTAAAATAGATTCAACCAACATCACCTTTTGATGAGAGGCCTCTTGGCAGACTTCTGCAAATGCATTACAAGCTGAAGGCAATGGAAAACGAGCCAGAATTCTACCCCAAACATCATCAAGTGATTGATGAATGCTAACCAATAATTGAAACACTCGCTCATCCCCAACAAGTCACTTGTACCTTGTTGCATCACGGGAACAAGACCATTCCTCTTCTGTGTTGAGATATGAGATCAATTTCTTGTCATACAGTAACTAGCTCCAACCAGAATTCAGTTAGTTCCTGTTTACCTTGTTTGATCTGCTAACTTCGTGTCTTGAGATCATACATTCGAACCCCATCTTCACGTGGAATCAGAACCAAGCTCCGATACCATGAAGCATTCCAGAATCAGAATTCCGTCATGATCTCAGTCGCATGTACGGCATAAATATATACAAATTACGGGGATTTCTGTGCAAGGAAATAATACAAAAATATTAACTACCATAATCATATCTCATCATATCCCTGTAGATAAGGAGTAAATCTCTCTCTTAAATAATTATATTTGACTATTCTTACAAATATACTTCTCCCACCTTATGAATATAACTCATTTTTAAAACTTCTCTCCAGCTTATGGAAATTGCTGGTGCATTTGGATCTTTGAAGGCTTATCACTTCGGGGCTGAAGACACTGATGAACATTGTGCCTTCCTAGAGGTAAGGAAGGATTATTTTTTTTTTATTCTTATCATGCATTTGGTATAATGGGAAGTACTGCAATTCTGTCTAAGGCCAGGGGTGTTCACTGCCATGAATGGCCTGAAGTGACATGGGTTGACTCATGCGTCCTTGATGCGCCTCAATTCCCAAAGGTTATGAAGGCTAGAGTGTGTTTTAATGCAAATTGTATCCTTATTCCTTAGGAGATGAATTCCCTAGGAAGTGAGTTGCATTGACAGTGAAATTGGCATCCTTCCTGTTCTCTTGTAATCCATGCTTATGAAGGCCAGATTTGGTTTTGTTCTTGTTCTCTGGTGTTATTTCCCCTTACCTTGCCCCCTTTCTTTTTGGTCATCAGTATGTAGACCACTCTGTTACTCTGAAAGCTTGTGCGGGTCTAAATGGTTTGACGTTTGCTGGCAAGGTGTTAACAGTTGTTCAGGCTATGCCTAATGCCGCATCCTTGGTAATTTTGCCACCCTCCTCTTGCTTCTCGCCTAATCGTCAATTCTTTGTTGCTTTTTTCATTGACATTGAACTTTTGCTGCAATTGCTTCTTAAATGTGGAGATGAGTGCTGACCTCTGACCCCAACAAATGTATGCCAGGAAAATGGTGGAAAACTGACATCCTATCAGGTTCCAAATCATGCAAGGCCACTGCTTAGCAAGCCAAGTGAAGTTTTGAAGATAAAAAATGTGGTATATAATTAATTAATTTTGTATTATTTCAGTATTTGGTTCAGTTCCTTCCAATTTGTTTCCTTGACCATTTTAATCTGTTAATTTATTCCTCTTTAATTTGTTCCTTCCCTAAAATCCTTTATTTTTTATTGACCCACATGACAAATGTTACTATTTGTGGGGATGTGATTCTTTCATTGTGACGAGTTCAATCTTTCTTGCAATAGTTTTACATTTGACATTTCAGTACACGGTGGCGTTTAGTTTCAATATGGGGGTAATTTGAACCTGTATTCCGTCCTTACTTAAATCCTGGTTTTTTATACTTAATCGGGTACAAGTTGTTGTTGGGGCCCTATGCTTTTGCTTGATATATGTGGCTTTGTTAGCAGTTGATTTAAACTGGTCATTTTGATGGTTACTTGTGCTTGCATAATATGCATAGTTCACCATGGAAGCTCTTTCTTCTCTGTCTGGTGTGGAAATTGAAGAAATCTTGGAGGACGTACGATTGGAATGTGCAAGGTTCGGAAGTAATTTTCCTTTGAATTGACTCATGGTATTAAATTATTTGAATAAATTACTCTTCCCTCTCCTAAAGGGTACTCAAATTACCCAGCCAATTCCTCTGTTTTGAAAACATTTACAAGCTTCCCTGGAACAAAAGATGGTAAAAAGAACCTTACAAACTAGTTGATTTCTTTATTAACAGCAGAAGTCATATTTCTTAGTTTATTTCGATCTAATTTATTTTCCATTGAAATTACAGATTTAACTATTCGAAAGGTTTATTAAATTTATGATAATTCCTGTGTTTATTAATATATGTTTGAAGTGTTAAATATTATTAATGATCGTTTCTTAATTCTTTAATCTTTGTGAAAGTATTTTGTGAAAGTTCTGTTTTTTAACAAGTTACTGGCTTTAGAAAATGATTTTATGAACTAAAAAACTGATTGTTTACATATTTAATACTTTTTATATTATATCACTAGTAAATATAAGAGACGTTTTGCTCAAAATATGTGTAATAATTGTATATGCTTAGCCGATGAACTTAAGTGGGATGTGTAATTTTTCACATTAGAGTGAAGGCCGTGAAATTTGAACATCCCTCTGGAGAGGGGAGAATAATTTATCCAAAACATTAGTATTGTTTAGTTTCTAATACTCTTACTGTTGCAGATTTGGGACTGTGAAATCTATTAACGTAGTCAAGAATAGCAGTGACAGGAATGAAGCAGCCAAGTCAGAAGAAAGTGAAGCTATCAATGATCTGAGATCCAATGGCGCTTCTCAAGATTTTGCGTGTGATGAAAACAATCCTGAATCAAACTTTTCTGAAAAGGCTGTTTACCTGGAAGCAGACTCCACTGCAACAAGTGGAGTGGAGTGTGATAATGGCAATACAGAGATCCAAGAAGATAAATCTGATGGTGGTAGTGGCGCTGATGTTGACAAGCTTGTTGATCAATTTTCTGACTATAAATCATGTCAGGGAGAAAAGGTTGTGAGTGATACAACTGTAGAAGGTGTGGAAGATAAGAGCATACCCAATGTTACGAGCCAGGAATGCCATGATCATCACAATGCTTCTAAAGATCAGTCACAATTGCTTGATAACATGGCTACTACTGATATTGGAATAGATGTTGAAAACAAGACAGTGGCTAACGATACCAATGAAGACTTGCGTGATCCTAATGCCAATTTAGGACCAGAATTATATGCTGCCAAAGAGGTGAAAAGTAATGAAGACTTAAGTGATCCTAATGCCAGTTTAGGAGCAGAATCGGGTGGTGTGAATGAGGTGAAAAGCAATGAAGATGACATTTCTGATCATGTCTTTGAAACAGGCTGTGTTTTTGTGGAGTTCCGAAGAACTGAAGCATGTTGCAAGGCAGCACATTGTCTCCACGGACGTTTCTTTGATGGCAGAATGGTGACAGTGGAATATGTTGCTCCTAGTTTATACAAAGCTAGGTTTACAAAATGAGAATTTTGGGGATCAGGATGGTGTAAAGTTCCAGACAGGTTCTGACATCACACTAGTTTTGATCTTCTCGGTCTGAACTCTGGTTTTCAGTGTCATTGAAGTTAGCAGCTTGCTTCCTGGTGTCTAATTAGCAGGAACATAGTGATTAACTGCTTATATCAGGGCCGAAGCAGCCAAGCTATCTGATGGTGAGATTTTAGGCCTTATTTGGAGATCAACCCTGTTTCAAGCTGTGCTGCATGCTTTACATTGTTGTATGCCTAGATAGGTAGTATTTATTCCATTTATATTTGACTAGTAGCCTTGCATTATCTAATATCATTCATACTTATTATTATTATTATTATTATTATTTTGGGCAAAAAGTATCATTCTTGCTTGTTAGCCTTAGCCTGGGACTACTCTCGCATTGTCCTTAGTTATGGATGGCTTTCAAAATCCCCTTTTTAGGTACTAAAGAGAATAAAGGCTATGCATCCAAAGACCACACGCGCCGCGCGCGCACATAAATATTATTTTGTGAAAGTTAATATGTAGGTGTTTATAGTTTTACTTAATGTTAAGTTAGGTGCTTATCGTTTATTTTATTTTAAGGTGCGAAAATACTTAAAAAAATTTCTCTAGAAACTTATGGTATTATTAAATCAACAATGATGCTTAGGTATTCATTAATTTTATAAAAGAATCTAACCTTCCTCCATCTATTAAGTGCTGGTCGATGTCAGATTATTTTAATAAATCAGGGAACATTGGCTTCTTTTGTAATGTTGATGGATACTTATGTATCATTGTTGATTTAATAAGAATGCTACAAGTTCTAAAGAAATTTTGTGTGGATATTTTTGCACCATAACTTTTATTTTAATCAAGCCCTTGTTAATGAATATTCATTAACTATCTTTTTATTTCATTCCTTTCTGCCCTTGTTACAAACAAACCAAAAAAAAAAAAGTACAACTGGGCTTGCATGGTTTAATATATATATATCTATATATATGTATAAAACTGGGTTACATGGAGAAACGAAAGGCAAAGTTCTAAGGTAACGAATTCTGAACTAAAGCAACGAGTGTATTGAAGTGTTAAAAGTATAGAAGTTATAAATGATACTATGCTTTTGAGGCAGATATTTTCTTGAATTAGGTTAGTTTTTGAAAAATAAAGAGTTGACAAAATAATAACCCGAGAATGAAGAAAATTTTGAAGCCTGCCTCTTTCTTGACCATATGACTAATTGGTCAAATTCCCGAAAATAATCCCATGTTCAATTATATGTTATGAATTGCTTCTTGCGTGAAATGGCTTTAGACACACAGGGTATGTTTGGTAAAAATTGTGATGCTTATTGCTTAATGAAGCCACTAAGTATTATTAAAGGGGTGAAATTATAAAATAAAGTAGATTTGTATTTAATTACATTTAATTAAAATAAATATATCAACCAGCATAACCCTATATGGATTAGAATGTAGGGTAAATTAGATTAACATCCCTTATCTTTAACAAGATGTATTCATGCATGAACTCGTATACTATGTCATCCATCCTGGCAAGCAAATAATTCCAGTAGGCAAGTTTCAAAAGCTAATCCGACGACAATAGGAAACATTCCGGTTGAAGAAGACTGCGGTTTCCAAGAATGGATTTTACAAAGAGGCCAATCAAGTGTTGTGACTCAACAGGAGCCGAACAACGGGGAGTCTTCATCAAGGCTTTCTTCTGCCTTGTATGATAATAAGAGGAGGATGCAAAAGGAAGTCAAAAAGTTCATATAAAAAGGGGATTGGTGCAAATGGAGGGAAAAAGAGCAAGAAAATTTTCGCATACCGTTACATAAAGGGAACTTGGGTTAAGTGCCAGGAAAAAGGCAAAAGTAAAGCTATAGGACCGACTATCCTACCAAAAAAAAAAATTGAAGACTGACTAGACTTTTACTGGCCCAAGCCTTTTTAAGTCAAGTTTTAAAGGGTTCAAGCCTGTAAGTTTTTTTAATGACAATTATAAGTTTTAAAGTATAATTAACATAACACAAATCCTAGAATATAATATAAACCACACAAATTAAAATTGTCTATAATCCAAAATGTAAATATTCTTTAGTCTTTATTATCATCAATCCTCATTCAAAATAAAAACATTAAACCCTTTAAAAGGAAGTGTACTTAGAGTAGGTTAGTATTTTAACAATCTCACCAACTTCATCTTCATCCCTAGAATAAATATTTATGTATTAATTCAAAACTTTAAGTAAATTATATAAATAAAGTTTTAATATATATATATATATATATAAAGGCTTAAAGCCTAACCCAAGCATGTTTTTGTAAGGCTTATAAAGATAAAGCTCAAAAGCCATTTTATACTAAAATCTCCTCTCTCTTTTTCAAACCCAGCCTCAAAAAATATAGGGTTTAAAGGTAGCCCCTCAAGCTTCACCCTTGTTGACGGCTCTTGGTGTAGGCAAGAGAGATATCAAACGCGGAGGAAAGGACTGCCAGGGAAAGAAGTTGTGTGTCAGACAAAATTTTGTTTTTTTGGGTTACACATGCATGCAAAGGTTAGATGTGAGGGAGAGTGTGTAGAATAGGCTTTGTCTTTAGGCTTAAGCCCAAAGATTAGTGGGCTCAATAGGAGTCGAACAACAAGATTGAAAACGCTTTCAGCTGACCTTAGGAAAACTATGTTACTCAAGCCCAAAACATGGTTTTTCGGGGGTTTGACGTACAAAGGCCCTTTGAATTTGGACCAACAAAACGAAGGGGTTTTAGCTGGTGGGCTTGGCATATCTTCCAGCACTGGAGAGCATAATGGACCTAACGGACTAGAATTTGCCATCTGTCCCTCCCTTGTCACGATGCCAAGGCAAGCATTTTTTTTTAAATTGAAAATATGATCATATTTCAAAAACAAAGGATACAAGCACATTGAAGCTAAGTCAAGAGCTTCTCATCATCCACCACCTTCTGACATTAAGGTGGTGGTTTGGTTAAAAGTGTGAAAATTATGTATTCAATTAGAAGCATGAGCAGCTAAACAATAAGTATAAAAATTAGCTTCCTTATATATAAATTCTATAGTTACGCTCCAGTCCCTAAATAAAAAGGATCTAACATGGGCAATGATGTCATAGTAGGGGCGTAAATCAATGTCATTCCTAAGGATAAGATTTAATAGTTTCCTCACAGTTTAAAAGACCCTAACCTTTTGGAAACCCTTATGCTAGCATAGATAGAATCCTTGTGGGATGGCAGAAACTTCAGTAATAGCATGTGGGAGATTACCAATATTAGCATTGAATCCCAAAATCCAATCCGCATTGTTGTCTCTCATAACTCCTCCATGTTTACTTATTCCATTCTTATGAGAGCCATCAACATCTAACCTAATTTCATCACTGTTTGGTCTAAACCATCTACTGCAATAGTTCCTCTCTCTCTCTTTTGTAAACTAGAGAATGAATTCGAGTAGTGAAGATTCGTTCCTGCCTTATGAACTGCAGCCGTGACCAAATCTCCCCTCTCTTCTTCTCACTCTTTTGAAAAGTCTTCTTACATCTAAAGCACCATATGTCCCAACAAACATGTCTAAAGAGCGCGTTCCATGGCACTTATTTGGTGAAGTCCTTATCAATTTCTTTGCTTAAGTTCTACTTGAGCCAATCGTCTTTCTTGCTTGCCAAATGTTCTTGTTTGATGAATAATTTCTTGCGTTCTTTTGCATCGGGCAATCACGAAGTAGACGCATTACATCCTCCTGCTTAGCACATCTAAGGGGGTATTGGTTGGACATCATCAAGTCACATCTTCCTTGGTCCGCTCTAATTCTAAATTCTATCCTAGAGAGCTTGAGCATCCGAATTTGTACCAGTAAAAAGGAAATCATATGCAGATTGTAACATTTTAAATTTCTTAATCATGTGGTTAGTTATTAATTAGAGGTAAAATGATAATTAGTAGAGGATTAGAGATTTGGATGGTTGTTTGATGATTTATATCTTTGGGATGTTAAATGTACAGATACAGGGTGAAAGGATTGCGTTTTAGGTTGAAGTGTGTGTGTGTGGTGAGAATTACTATGCCATGTGCCGTGGCTACTACTGCATGAGCCATGGCATATGGACTAAAAATGACTTCTTAAGTTATGAAATTTTATAAATTTCAAAAGGAAGAAATTAGAAACACATGAGAGGGAGTGGAGAAGAGTGAAGGGTTTGCTAGGGCAAGAGATTTTGGAGCAGTAGCACTTCTAATTAGTAATTTATCAAGTAAGCTACGTATAACTCTTACCTTCTATTCTACCCAAATTTCTATGAATATAAGTTATAGAGAAATTGAATCAGTGAAATTTAAGGGGTTTGATTCTTATGTTGGATAGGGAGGCGCAGCGAAAGATTAATTTTTTTAAAAATCCCTATCCAGATATGGATCGAACGAACTCGTTTAAGTTAAGGTGGATAGAAGAATATTACCTTTTAATCCTTTAAACTTGACACAGTTTGGATCTCAGGAGCTAACAATGTAGATCTGCTCCCTTTATTGGTATCTATACGAATAGCTCTCTAATTCAAACAGCGTGCTAGCACTCTCAACATTCGTTCTTCTTGAACGTTTGTTTTTCTTTCTATAAGGTGTTTCATGTCTCTCAAAGTATTTTTACTGTCAGAACTTTTCTAACTGTCTCTTTCTTTATAAAGGACGTCCCTATCTATATATAGTATATGGATAAGGGTTTTTGTCTTTTAGTTAGAAGCCTACAAAAATTTAATTAAATTTATCTCATAAATTTAATCCATGAATATCATATCTAATTCAAATTTATCTTATAAATTCAAATTATAAAACTGACATGATATTCTCTCACATCATGTTAATTATTAAATTTAATCTGTCATATAAAATTAAATTTAAAACTAACACAATATAATATAATATAATATAATATATATCACATATACATATTGTATTATATATACACATGAATGTATATATACACATATATATTTCAAAATATATATATATATATATTTAATTTTATATATCATATACATATACATATACATACATACATATATATATATATATATATACACATACACACATGAATATATATATATATATATATAAAATTATATTTCAAATTTTATATTTCATATAAATATATATATATATATATATATATATCAAATAAATATTCAAATATATATATATATATATATATTTCATTTGCCCTATATTACATTCATTGAATTTAGACATATTTCAAATTCAATGACCTTAGACATTACAGCTTGAGTTGGGCTATTCTTGTGTGTGATTCTGTAAGCCCATATAAAATTGACAGTAGGCTAATTATGT